TACTTGTCAGTGAATTAACGTCTTGATTAGTTCGTAGCAGAATGTGCTGTTAGGAGGTGGGACCAGGTTGGACGAGGTAGGACATAGGGTGTGTGCCTTAGAAGGGTGTGTCTCCAGCTCTTTCCTTCTCTCTCTGCTTCCTACCACCATAAAGTGAGTAGCTTTGCTCAACCACAGCCTTCCATTATGATGTTTCTGCCTTGGAGCCAAATGACCATGGACTGAACCCTTGAAACCATGAGTCAAAACTCCTTTAAATTGTGAGTGTCAGGTATTTTGTCCCAGTGGCAAGTGATACAGGGGCTAATATCCAAAATACATAAGGAGCTCAAACAATTCAATAGTGAGAAAACAGCCTGATTCAAACTAGCCGAAGGATCTGAATAGATTTTTTCCAAGTGGCCAACAGGTATACAAAAAATGCCCCAAATGACTAAAGATTAATGAATCTTTAGGGAAATGCAAAGTAGAACCAAAATGAGGTATTACCTCACACCTATCAGAAGGGTTATCATCTAAAAGACTAAAGATAAGTGTTGACAAGAATGTGCAGAAAAGGGAACCCAGGTATAATTTGGTGAGAATGTAATACAGCCATTATGGAAAACAGTATGGAGGTTCCTCAAAAAAAAGAAAAACAAAACTACTTATACGATACAGCCACATCATTACTGGGTATATATCCAAAGGAAATGAAATCAAAGAGTTCCCTGCATCCCCATGTTCACCGCAATATTATTCACCATAGCCAAGATACAGAATCAAGCCATGTGCGCATCAAAGGACTGGATAAAGAAAAAAAAAAAATATATAGATATAGATATATACACACACATATGAATACTCTTCAATCTTAAAAAGAAGGAAAACCTGTCATTTGTGACAACACAGATGGACATTATATTAAGTGAAATAAGACAGGTACAAAAATACAACTACCACAGGCTCTCACTTATATTGGAATTTTAAAAAATCAGACTCAAAAACAGAGTAACATCATAGTTACCAAAGGCAGGGTGGGGTGGAGGGAAGCTTAGGAAGATGTTGGTCAAGGATGCAAGATTTCTGTTAGGCAGGAGGAATAAATTCATGAGATGTACATCATGGTGATCACAGTAACAATATACTGTACACTTAAAAATTGTTAAGAATAGATTTTAAGTATTCTTATTATTACAAAATATGGTGAGATAATGCATATGTTAACATGATTTAGGCATTCCACTATATATGTGTTTATGTATATGAAAATATCATGTGGGAGACCATAAATATATATAATTTTTACTTGTAAATTAATAATTTAAAATGAGGAACAGGGCTGGGGATTTAGCTCAGTGGTTTCGCTGCCTGCTGCACAAGTGCAAGGACCTGAGTTCGATCCCTGGTACCAAAAAAAAAAAAAAAAGAGGAATAAACCAGTCGGACTTGCTTTAATTTCTTTTTTTTTTTTTTTTGGTACCGGGGATTGAACTTGGGACCTTGCACTTGCAAGGCAGGTGGCGGTAGCACCACTAAGCTAAATCCCTGGCCCAGATTTGCCTTAATTTCTGTTTCTCTATGTACTTGCTCTTAACCAAAAGGCCAAGAAGGATTGTCTTCTATTCCTATAGACCTGTGGTGCTTTTTTATGGTAGCCTTAGCAAACTAAGACAGCATTTTTACTTTATAAATAAAGTCAGAATCATGGTATGACATGCACTGCTCTGAGCTCCTTACAAATATTCAAATTATTTCATCCCATTCCCCCAGGGCTCGGGAATCCTCACCGCTGCACTTCTCATTGGGTAGGACCGGAAAAACAGAGCTCCTTGTCCAGGGGTAGGAGCTGGGGACAACCCAAAACTGATACAGTTGGGAGGGGGGAATATGCTACATCTCTTTCCCCAGGGGGGCAGCAGAGGAGGAAATGACTCTTATTAATAGTAATAATAATAAAAGCTTAGTGACTATTAACTGAGTATGTGTTGTTCATAGGCTAGAGCTAGACATTCAATTCTCTCATTTTACCAAAGCAACTTAATAGGACCATTTCAGTCCCTTTATTTTACAGGCTTCAGGAAGGGTGAGCCAGCTGCCCAGCTGGAATAATCAAGGTTCAGATGTGGATCTGTCCAATTCTGCTCCTCTGCCCACCTCCTAAGGGGCAGGCTTGGCTTGGCTGGGGGCAGGGGTGGGGCTGGAACTCCAGAGTTTGCTCTACAAGCAGGAGACCCATAGGGAGGAGCAAATTAAACTGTCTCAAAAGAAAAGGCTAAGAGAGAATCTCACAGCCTTAACCATTACACTTGCAAAGAGGACAGCTCTTTCCCTCTGGATACACCAGGCGTTAAGCTTGAAACTTAGAGCAGTTCTGAGAAGGAGGTACTTTCGTGTTTTCATTTTCTGGTCATGGAAATTAAAGTTCAGGGACGCTGAGCGATCTGCCCAAGGCTCAAGGGAAGTGGGGGAACCAGAGTGGCAGTCGTGGGAGGCTTCCGACCCCTCTCTGGCCCAGCTCTTCCCACTGCACAGCCAGAGTTCACGAGGGCTGGCGAGTTCTGTACACACAAGTCGCATGGTATATTCCAAAATGCTTTTTGGTTGGTGCTGACACAATCATAATGTTAGGCAGAAAGTCGGTCATTAGGAGGCTAGAGATAGGTGGCTGGGAGGAGGCTTTGGTTTGAAAAGCAAAGAAGATGTGGTTTTTCTTCTCCCTTAATCACTGGCTACAGAGCAGATCTACACAAGCTTGTGGTTTCCAACTTTAGCTCAAGAGAAAGTAACATCTGATGAAGGTGCCGATGAGATGAGGTCGAGCCCAATTCAGGCTGTCGGTGAGGGGCTGAGAAAACCTTAAGGTCTCAAAACAAACTAAGGAATAAACGGGACTTCTCTCCGAAGCAGGAAAACACAGCCCGTTCTTTCTGTACAAGAACAATAACACTGTCAGGGATCACCACAGGGCAACCAGGTAGAATCCTGGGCCCTCCACCTGCTGCCCACTGAAAACATGATTTGTGTTTTCTCCTGGGACAGCCAGGGACTTAAAAAGCTTTTCTTTTTTTGGTACCGGGGATGGAACTCAGGACCTTGCACTTGGGAGGCAGGCGGCAGAACCACTGAGCTAAATCCCCGGCCTTAAAAGCTATTTTTGTTATGAACCTTAACTCTTCATTTGGGCCTACAGATGCCCAATATGTGACTAAAAGCAAAACAAAGTTTGACTTTTATTTTAAAAGGAAGAAGCTGGCAGGAATCTTCCTATTAAGTTGTAAAATGTGGGTCAAATCTCTTCTCAGCTCTGCATATATATGTTAATCACTTACGGAGTGTCTGTTTTAAAATTGGCAAAAGAAGGTTACTTAGCCCTGGATTTACATAATCTCAGTCTCTTCAAGACTAAAGACACTGGGATGGGCAGCTTCCAGGCACATTCAACTCTGCTGAGAAGTCTGCAGCCATTGTCCCAAACCTGCACATCCTAAACTTTGACCACCCAGGCACAAAACCATCCCCAGGCCATACAGGATCTAGGACAATGGCACCAGGAATGGAACATGTGACACCGGGACTGAGATAATGCTCCGCTGGCCCCCAGCCCACCAGCTAACCCCAAAAGCAGGCGTCTTTTGGGGAAGCCCAGTCGGAATCCCTGTGTCAAGAGTCCTAAGCTGAAGTCTTTTCCTTTCTTGGCTCTAGCTGGCCAATTAAAACGTTTTTCCCTGTAAATGTGTGCTTTACAAACTTTTGTTTACTTTTTTTATTACTAGAAAAAAAAAGTAAGCAAGGACCCAAGGTAGCCGGATGGAACCCAGGGCTCCATGCATGCCCAGTAAACATTCTACCCCGAGCGACATCCGAAGCCCTACACCACGGCCTCAAATATTAATACTGAGCCGCTCTGCCCAAGAATGTTCCAAGGGGCCTTCACTTTCCAAGACGTCTCCTGGAAAAGGTTCAGAGGACAGAAAAGTCTACGAGTGCTGCCTGTTACCCCTCCCCTGCCCCAGAGCCTCATGGCGCTCACCAGCAGATTCTACAGGCTCTAAGAAGGTCTGCAGAAAAACAAACGTTTCTTTCATTAGGCCCAGGGTTTCCCCGGTGCACCTGAACCGCGGGATTGCCTGTCTACAGGTGTCAATCAATACGAGGTGCAGAGCCCTCTCCAGAGATGCTGCAGTCAGGGCTGAGGAGAAAGAGAAGTAGGCCGGGGCTCTGATCTGAAAGAACCGAAAGGCACTTTGGGCTTGGGGTGGCTGCACAGTGCAGAGCACTCGCCTACCATGCATCAGCCCCCGGGTTTGATCCCAGCACTGCAAAAAAGAAAAGAAAAGAAAACAGCAACTTTCTCTTTCCTTAAGAATGATCAAGTCCTTTGTTGTTTACATTTAGTTTGCTTTCCACTGAGAAAATAGACAATTAAAAATAAAATACAAACGTGAGGCCATAAGTCAGACCAGGGAAGGGCTGTCTGCATTCCCAAATGTCTTGCTTGGACCTTCTAGGGTGCTTCCGAGCCCCACCTCAGTCGGGTCCTCCACCCTCCCTCCTCCGGGCTGCTCTTCAGCTACACGACCTGTGGTGAGCCCGACCCCAAGCCAGGAGCGGCGAGGCGAGAGGCACATTTGAGAAACACGGAGACGGCCCAGACGCAGGAGATGCCGAGGCTGCGCCTGTTTCTCCCCCTCCGTGCACTTTCTAATTTTCTAGGATGAATACGCAGCGCTTACATTTTTAAAGAGGAAGAGGAGAAAGAGGAGGAAGGGGAGGAGGAGAAAGAAGAAAAGAAGCGGGAAGAGGAGGAGGGGAGGGAGAGGAGGAGAAAGAGAGAAGAGAACGCGAAGAAGTGGGGGAGAGGAGGAAAACGAAGAACGAGGAGGGAAAAGAGAAGAAAGGAAACAAGGCGACCGCGGGAGGAGGGAAGAACACCCGGAAGGGAAGGCTCCCCACGCGCAGCCTCACCCCGCGCCCCGGCCCCCCCGACGGCGCCCCCTGGCGGCGGCCGCGCTGCTCACCCACGCGGAAGATGAGGTCGTCCTCGATGGGGTTCTCTTTCCGCTTGCCCGTGCTGTACATGCTGGCCGGCCGCTTCACCGCCTTCTGCTTCACGTGGCCGCTGCCCGGGGACTTGACGCGCCGCTTCACGCCCTCGGTGGTGGGCGACACGTCGGCCGAGCGGATGACCTTGAGCTTGAACGGGCTGCCCCGGATGTGCTGGTCGTAGAGACGCAGGGACAGTGTGAAGTCGCCCTCCTTCTGCACCGTGTACAGGAACTCGTAGGTGCCGTTCTTGTTGTCCAGGATCTCGCCGTCCGCCACGCTGCCGTCGGGGGTGCTGAGCTCGGCCGTGAGGTAGGCGTTGCCGGTCTTGCACAGCTCGCCGTCCTTGTCCTTGGTGGTGATGGTCACGGACATGGGCTGCCCGATGACGGTCTGCCGGAGCCCCTCGCCCGTGGCCACCGTCTCGGAGGCCACGGCGTTGGTGGTCAGGATGGTCCCGAGGTTGTGGATGGATTTCTTCAGGCCCTCGGTCTCCACGATGAAGTCCAGCTGGTCGTTCTCGCGCGGGTGCAGGGGGAAGTCCTGGTCGGCCAGTTCGTTCAGCTTCTCGCTCATCTGCTTCTTTACCAGCAGCACCTCGGTCTCCGTGCCGTGGTTGAGGGCCTGCGCCGTGAAGCTGCTGCAACTCTTGATGCTCTCCTGGCCCTGCAGCAGGGTATCCAGCTGCGACTGCAGCACCTGCGGGAGCGGAGGGCGGTGAGGTCTCTCTGCCCGCCCGGCCCTCCTCCTGCGGGAGGCGCTCCACACCGCCCACCAGGGGCGGGAGAGCCAGGTTCCACAGTAACACCCGGTCCTCATTCCCCTGGCCTGCTGGGGTTCCCTCCCCCTTGCCCGCCTCATCTCCCACACTGTTATTTTTGGGTCATGGGTTTGCACAGGAACAGGGAGAAGCTGTCACACCCAAGAGCTGTGGCAAACAAACTGCCGGGCCTGACATCTTAAATATTCCTTATTCAGTATCTTTCCCGAATGTTCAAAGCTCCCCGGTCAGCTCCTAAAGGAACAGAAACCAAACACATGAGAAATCTCCACACCTAAATACCAGAAGCGTTCAGTGCTTGGTTTTGTGAACAGACATGCAGAGCTGAACAAAGAGGGCAGTCAGGGTGCGCTTTGGAGTTGAGGAACAGGTTGGTGTGGATGGGAGAGCAATTAAGAGACATTCCACGTTGTAATTAAGGAAGGAAAACAATCCAGTTTAACCCCCAATCCTGAAAGCATGACATGATATTCAGCCTCACCTTTTGTCAAATTATAAATTGGTACTTAAGGTCATGATATCATACCGTTTTGCTGAAAACAGGGAAGAAAAACAGAGCTGGGTTATTTTGTTAAATGCAAATGACAGTTTACTGTATGATGGTGACATTTAAGAACCTATTTGAGTCCCTCTGCTGCTACTGGGATACAATCAGCCAGCGCTGTTAAGGGCCCAGCTGTCACATCCCCAGTATGTGAACTCGGGTCCTTGCACTTGCACAGCAGGCGGCGAAACCACTGAGCTAAATCCCCGGGTCCCCTACTGGAGTCTTACTTTGTGTTTGAGGCCATAGTTGACTTCCAGTTCCATAAGCAGCACACTCTTGCGCACATTTAAAGTCTTCTGCAGCTCATCGAAGGTGGAGTGGATATCATCCACAATGCTGGCCTTTTGGTTGGTTAGCTGATGAATGATTTCTGAGATGAACTGAAGAGCAGAATCTATTTCCGGGAGCCTGGAGGACAGTTGTTAGAAATCTTTAACATCAAATATCCCAAAGTACTGTAACCCAATACTGTTTTATAACTTTTTTCTATGGCTTTTGTCATCTTTAGAATGGACTAATGGACAAATGGGCTCATGGAATGAACGAGACTCTTGACGGTCTGTTTGTGTCTTCACTCATCTCATTTTAATAATTGACGGTGGAAGACTTGAAGCTCTAGGAAAAACCACTATGGCCAAATAATCTTTAGCTGCATAGAACGGTCTTGTGCACTGTGGGCTGTTCTGCAGTGTCCTGTCCTCTACGAGGTGCCAGCAGCATCCTTGCACATAGCTGTGACAGCAAAAATGTCTTCAAGCACTGCCCATGGTTGAGAACCACTGATCTACATATATAACTATTTTTTCCCAAACCACAGAATACTTATCCAAACTGAGAGTTTCCTGGGAACTTTCAGAAGTGTCCAAGTGCTTTTCATTAGTTTAGGATAATCATACTTTTCTTACTACAGCTGACTATTGCTAAGATATTTACTATGTTGTCTGGTTTGCAGCAGCTAATTTCCTCTGATGTTTCTCCTGCACAACAGCTACTCTGTTCCCTTAAGTCTGTGACAAAGAAACTCCAAGCAGGGGAGCTCAACACCATTCTGGGGGCTCATGGGAAGAAGGGGCTGGCCACCACAAGAAGTGCAGCTATGGAGCTCCTGAGGGCCGGTTCAGGCATGATTTTTTCAGAGATCTCCAGGGAGTAAAAGAAATGCCACCACTCAAATGCAGTTGGAATTTTACCAAGGAGGAGGGAAAACTTTTATCTCTTACTAGTTCATAACCACAGACCCAGGATGGGATCGAAGGTGAATTTATTTATGACATAATGACGGGTACCTCCAGGGTAACCTGAACCTACTACAGCATGGGAGCCTGGCGGGGTGTCCCACCTTTTGTTGACAGCATCCAGCTGGACCTGGAGGGCAGCCTTGTGCTGCTCCACCACGTCCTTGAGTGGGACTGTGGGGTGCTCGGCGTGCTCCCCCTCTGTGCACTCGTGACACATGGCAGTCTCGCAGGACTGGCAGTAAAATTCCATCACCTGCAGGGACACAAGAAAAGCTCCATGGTCAAGGTCACTGGCTGAGCACTTCCTCTGCAGGAAGCAGTTTCCTTTCACTTCCTCAGCTAATTCTCACATCCATCGAAGAATGCTGGCAATGCTCTCTCCGGCTGCATGGCAGGAAAGGAAGAATGAATGTGATGCCATGGGTCCCAAACAGAAGTGGGTCTGACTCCAGAGCTACTGCTGGGGCCACAAAGCCAGCTTTTTGGTGGCCGCTGCCTGGGGCAGAACTGTGTAGGGCTGTGTTTCAAGCATTTGGTCTTGGGCCTTCTAGACATTCTTTAAAAACTACTGGGGACACCAAAAGGACTTTTGCATACATGCATGATACCTGTAGATGTTTGTCATATTAAAAATGGAAGGAAAGGGCCGGGGATTTAGCTCAGTGGTTTCGCTGCCTGCTGCACAAGTGCAGGGACCTGAGTTTGATCCCCGGTACCAAAAAAAAAAAAGGAAGGAAAAAAAGTTTAAATTCTCCTTAATTTAGTAATAGCAATAGTAAGTCCATTTAAGTATTAACAGGAGTCATATAGTTTATGAAAAATAATTACATTTGCAAAATAAAAATTTGGGGAGGAGAATGGCATTATTTTCCATTTTTGTAAATGTTGGCAGTATCTGGCTTTACAGAAGTCAGCTGCTGCTCATATTTGCTTCTGCTTCTGTGCTGTTGGAACAGCACACATCAGACACACTCTGGAAAGCACCGCTGTACACTTTTGAGAGAATAAGGGTGAAAAACACAATTAATGTCTTCAAACCGCTGCACTATGGTACAGGGGCTGGGGCCCCTCAAGTATTCCTGGGCCGTCTGGAAACTTCTACTGGGAGCAGTGTGCATCCTGGTCCACCGCCTATTCAGCTGAGTGATCTTAGGCAAATTTCTTCTTCTCACCACTTCTGCCTCTGCCCAATGGAAACAGTAACAGTAGGGCTAAGTGAGTTAGTGGGCATGACGCACTCAGGGCTGCCTGGTACCAGCGCAGGCATCTTTAGTATGTAATAGTTGCTACAGTGATGACAACGACATCATCTGGTTCCCTGAAAATAAAATCACCTCATTCTGATTGTGACAAACTCTCAGGAAGGACACAACATGAAGCCTAAGGGTAGTTTCCTTGTGGAGGAAGCTCTCCCACATTCTCAGCTGGGAAGAGCATCTTCTAAGCTTGAATTCCCAAAGCCCTTTGCTGGGGGAAATTTTTTCTTATAGTGTAATGTACATCTTGAAAAGGGCATAAATCTGAATACAGCATGAATGCACCTGCCACACTGTCGTTTAGACCCCACTTACGAAACATTTATAAGGCTGTAGGTTTCTGGACAGGGACTGTCCCTCCCCTGCCCACCTAGCTAAAGCCTGTGGATAATGGGTACCAAACGCTACTGCAAGCGGCCACGGGAGGACGCTCTCAGCCAGAGCCACCGCGCGGTGACAGGTGCTAGAAGGACGTTCCTCCCTCATCCAGACTGACTGTTTTACATGGTACTTTCCTGGAGCTGATTTCCCCAGATATAAAACACTCAGTTTGCCGAACCTATCTTAGCAACAATCTTTTCCAGTGACCCAGATTTAGATAAAAGTCCTTCACACCACCGGGTGTGGTGGCACACGCCTGTAACCCCTGCACTTAGGAGGCTGAGGCAGGAAGATCAAGCATCCAAGGCCAGCCTGGCCTACATAGTGAGGCCCTGTCTCAAAATACAAAAAGAAAAATAATCCTCTGCAGGTCAAAAACATTGCTCTACATATTCCATTAATATGTATTTTAATACACAAACTCAAATGAAAATTCAATTCTCCCATAGGAAGACTACGACACTAGTCACTTGAATCTTATTTTGGTAAAGTCTAATTCAATCCAGCAGCCTGCCCAGCACATAGAAACTGTTTGATGATTGTTTGCCAAGGGACTGTATGAGCTAAGGGATTGTTCTAAGGGAACTTACTTTCTCCAGTGAGAGGCAATGTACTCCAACAAAGGACAGCATTTTGGGCTGCTTTAGGAGCAATTTACTATATTTACATTTTACTATGTTTTACTATACCCTCCCTGTGTTTAGAAAATGGAATGATCTAAAAATACCAAAATACTAAAAATAGCCAGCCTGGGCTATACAATTAGTTCAGTGCCAGCCTGAACTACCTAGCCAGACACTGTCTCAAAAAAACCAACCCCCCCCGCCACGAAACAAAAAAACTATAGGCAGTGTCATATTAAACACCATCATAAAGTTTCTAGACATTATTTTTGGAAATGCAAATACACAGTAACAAGATATGTATAAGTCCTATATCATAAATATTTCACTCTTTATTTGAAAATATGCTTCATACAAGAGGTTTCCTATTTTTCAAAGGGTTTGGGAAAGGGAGAATAAAAAAGCAGTCCTCAATGAATTCTCGGATTTTCTTTTGAAAAGTGTCACCCCTGGGGATCTGTGGAACACTTCATGGCTTTAGCAGGAAGCGACTTGCATTTCTAGATCTTATACATAACCAGACTCATATTTACGAATGTTTCACTTTGTTGGCCAGAGCTCATGAAACCTCTCTAGAGCAGGCTGTCACTGCTGGTCACATGCAAGCTCGGAGAGTCCAACAACAGAAGGAGAAGAGAGTTCTTCCCTCAGTTCTTCAGAGCGCTGGGGCTGCCCAGTGTCTGCCTGGGGAGACTGCACAGTACCAGCGCTTATTTCTTTCCCATGTCTCTCGAGGCTGAGCTCCAGTTTCCACTCCTCCTCAGGAGAAGACAGTGGGCTCTTGTCTGGAAGGAACCTGGCCAAAGGCAAACTGACTAGATTTTAAAAGAACTCTTTCACATACACTCACAGAGCTCCAAGAAAAAAACATATATAAAGAACTAAAGGAAACCACAAAACAATGTCACACCAAACACAGAATATTTAAATACCTCAATGTTTCTCTGGTGTGAGAAGCTGAAAGTGGAAATAAGGACTGAGATGTATAAGGGATGTTGGAAAATGGGAAGAAAGTGTTCAAATGGGAAGGGGAACAAGGGAAGGGGGAGGGAGAAAGGAAGGAAGGGATAAAAAGAAAAGTGAAAATAAAATGGAAACAAAGCTTTTGTACATAGGGAGGGGAGGGGGGCTGAAGGGGAGGAATGGGATAAAATGAAATTTATTTTTAAAAAAAGAGAAATTATAAAAAGGAGCTAAAGGAAATATTCTAAAGTCAAAAACTGTAACTGAAATGTAATAGTCACGATGTGAGCAGACAGAAGAAAGAACTGGTGAACATGAAAATAGGACCCTTGAGATTATAGTCTGAGGATCAGAAATAAAAAAGATAGAAGGAAACGTAATGAACCCAAGAGACCCGGAGACACCATGAAATGTACCAAAATATTCATAGTAGGAATTGCAAAGGAGAAGGGAGGGAGAAATGGAAGATGATGAAGAAATAAGGGGTGGAAACCTCCCCAGTTTTAATGAAACACACATGTACACAGTCAAAAAGCTTAATAAGCCTTAAGCAGGCAACTCAAAGAGAGCCAACCAAGGAATCGTATAGCCAAACCATCAAAAGACAAATATCTTAAAAGCAGCTCTAAGACAGAAGCGATTCATCATGTCCGCGAGATATCTGACGAGATTCATGGTCCACTTCTCCTCAGAAAGCACTTTGGTTCCACCGTCTGCCTCGCAAGCACAAGGACCCAGGTTCCATCCCCTGTACCACACACATACACACACATAAATGGCTATGATAGACCGAGGAGAGTAGATGACAAAAAAAGACATCACATAATTTGACAAAACTTGAGCTAGATTGACCAAGAAAAAGAAGAACCTCAAATTACTAAACTCGGGAAGAAAAGTGGGGAAATTAGTACTGACATCATGGAGATGAAAAGAATTATAACAGAATACTATGGATACTTGTAAGCCAACAAATGAATAACCTAGATTAACGGACAAATTTCTAGAAACACAACCAAATCTGAGTTGAAGAAGAAACAAAGTCTGGAAAGACTTAAAATCATCATCATCATCATCAACAACAAAACCCAGGACCAATAAGCTTCACTGATAAAATCTGCCAAATATTTAAATAAGAACTGATACCAATTCTTCTCAAACTCCAAAAAAGAAAAGAGAACCACCTCTTAACCCATTCTATTAGGCCAGTATTTTCCTGACACCAAGGGCGTCACAAGACTATTACAGACCAAAATCCTGTATAAATACAGATTTAATCATTATGAAGCACTAGCAAAAGGAACGGCGTCACATATTAAAAGGATTATGCACTATGAGCAGGTGGAATTTATCCCAGGAATGCAAGGGCGGCTCTCGTAGGAAAGTCACCGCGTGTGTGACACCACGTTCATAGAAGGTAGTGGCCACTTCATGGGAATGGTGTTTCTTTTGAGAGGTGATGAAAATGTTCTAGAGTTAGAGAGTGGTGATGTTTGTACAACTTAGTAAATATACTAAAAACCACCCACTGTCACTTTAAAATGATTTTTAAATTTTATCTAAAAACAAAACTGCCCGTAGCTTTAAGGAACAAGCAGCAGACTCTGGTCTCCGCTCAGTGCACAGGCCTCTTCAGTACGCCCGGGGCAAAGGCCGTGCAATCGTTCTGCTCTATCATCAGCCGCCATCTGCAAATGCCTGAGCGGGGTTCTGACAGTGGAGCTCACTGTGAGGTGCGAGCTCCATCGGCCCTGTCCCTTGAGACCTGCTGTCTCCAGGGGTGCCAGGGAGGCCAGGGGGCAGGACGAACTTACTGCTGCTGACAGGCAGTGGCTGTTTGTGTTCATCGCAAGAGGAGACTGCAGGACCATGCATATCCCTAACCTGACAAGGACTCTCAGGGCCTGAGGCTTCTGGAGGGTCCGACAGTGGATGCTGGTGGGGGAAGTGGAAACTTGTTACTGAGCGCAGGAATTGTCCACAAAGACACATCCGTTATTGAGGCATCTAAGCAAGCAGTGACAGGGTTTCCG